AACGGATCCTTATGGTTTTTTATACATATTTTTTTCTAACAAAAAGTTTTTTAATTGAAAAATTTTATAAAATAATAAAAAAGATAAAATCGTTATTTACTACGCTGTGAACAATTCCGTAGATATAATTTATTTCTATCAATGTAGATTAATTGTTATCTCGGTTTAATTTATTCTTTATCTTTTCCTAATTCTTAGAATTAGAAAAACAAAAAGTAAATGAAATTAAAATTGAAGTTGGTCTACATCAGTAGAAACGAACATTAATCAAATATAGTTACTCATGATATTTTTCTTTTCTTTTAGAAACGATAATCAGAATCCCATAAATGACTGTGCTTTTGATACTGAAGAGATGCTTGATATGGAAGTTGAATTTACGCCGAACTTGACATGGAAATGTAAGACTAAATCCAGAGAATCGGACTCTTCCAATGCAAGCCAGAAAAATATCATCAAGGGTATCACAACGCCTGTATTCAAAAGTCTAGAATCAGTTTTACATTCAGAAATTCTAAATGGAAAAGGAGCGTTTATAAATAACGCATCAGTGCAAAAATCAAATTACTCAAAACAAATTACAAAAGTATTGAGGAGATAATCTCCATATATATTTTCCGCTTTTCTATTTTTCAACAATGTAAAAAAGAAAAGATGTATCTATTATTTGCGTTGTTAGAAGATATGCTTGTTTAGTACATTACGACAGCGTAATAAAAATGATTAAAATATTGATTGGAAAATAAATTAAATTATTTAAATAAATTTATGTTTAATTCAATTCTTAAAATAAATACACATGTTTATATATTGTTGGTATAAAGTGTGCAGGATAATGTTTGTATTCTAATATTACTTGGCTAGATATAATTTTTTTTTATATATAATTATCATGTGACAAACGAAATGTTAGAATTGAAAATGAAACTAGATAGTTCTTACGGATTTATATATATATTTTTTAACAAAGAATTTTTTAATTGAAAAGTTTAATAATAAAAGATGAGAAAAATAAAATTGTTATTTGTTATCATTTACTTTGGCCTTCGTATTTGTTTAATCTCCAAAAAATTTATTTCAACGAGACAGATATCATTAAAATGAGAAGGAGCTGTCATTTGCTGCAAATAATCTTCGCACGGAAGTAATCTAACTTAACCCAACCGATTCAACCTAACCTTAAAAGTGTGAAACTGTTATTGAGGAATTGATTACTAACACATTGAATTGTTCAATAATACGTTATTGTTCAACAATATAAATTGTCAGGCTGCTGATTATCGATTTAAGTTGAAGCAATAAGTAATAAATTTTATAATGAGTGAGTTAAATATTATTAAAATATTTCTAAATATATATACATTTATTGTAACATATATACATGTTTATAGAAAAGAATCAAATTTGTCAGCACAAAGACGTTTTTCAAAGAATGAATTATTTATATCAGGTATGAATAATTTGAAATTTATCATCCATCAATAAGCGATATTTACCATTATGATTATTTTTACTTGATAAAGTAATATAGAAACAATATGTTATTGTGATTTATTTAATATTTTCTTGCAGGCTAGTCATCTAATGGCATTAAAGAATCGAGTTATGGCATCTTACTTTGGTAACCATATGTTCGCTTGTGCTAAGAAGGCAGTATTGCGCATGTAAGTTTCTAGATAATTTATTATAAAGAATTATTTACAGGAATTGTTAACGATTCGTTATTTTAGGGAACCAAATTTGAAAAGAACTGTATGTAAATGTTGTCAAAGTCCACTCATATCTGGAGAGACAGCAAGAGTTAGATTAGTATCAAAACCCATAAAGGGTGTCAAATGGACGTGTTTAACTTGCATGAATAGTAAGAGATATCCTACAAAAAAAGGATACAAATTATGGCTCGACCAGCCAGAATCACTATTTCGGATATTAGATTTTACACCAAAATCAAAGAACAAAAACTTTCAGCAACTTGGCTCTGAAAGCAATCTTGAGGAAGTAAAAGAACAAACTGAAAACTATCCTAGAAATCCTACAAGTTGAATCGTTTGAATAATGTCAATTAAGATAAAAGTAAAGAAAAGCAGTTGATCTTAAATGTATTTTACAGATCATTAACTCAAGATCTGGTGTATGAATATTTTTTATTAATGACTTACATAAAATATGTTACAATATTACAATAAATTTGTAATTAATAAAACAGATACTTTTGCTAACTGGAATATTCATAACCATCTAGTAATATCATGATACCGATAATAGTTTTACATTAAATGTTCTTAGAAATAACTCGATCGTAAGTTAAGTTACTGTTATCGAGTAATTGCGATACGTTTTTTTTTACGGAAAGTGGCATCCGCAGGGAATTCCCGAAGGTCACGATTTCTGTTCTCAGCCGAGGACGGTTTGTGAAGTCGCTATTAAAGTGTAAAGTCGACATGGTTTTCGAAGGCAAGATTATTTCGCCGTAATGACACTGGAATTCGCTGCGAGCGTCATTACTTCATCTAACTATGATATGACTATGTCCGCCCACCGCCAGTGACTCGTGCAAAATCATTACGAGTTAAATCATCACACTCATACTTGGGCGCAATCAAATCACAGTTTACTTGGAAAGAAGAAAAAATATCAGTCATTTAATATTCTATCTTAAATAAATATACTAACACGAAATTAACAGTACTAACTTAGAAATTATACGCACTATCTTGATTATAAACGTTCCGTTGTGCGAATAGCAACAATGGCGTAATTGTTCGTTCACCAAATACAGCAATCCGCATCGCTTAGATGCCAGAAACGTGGCAGTGATCGTTGTAAAACGTATAAGATGCGTTCGTATTTCGAACGCACGTACGTACCTCGGAAACGCATAAATATTAAACTAACGAGAAAAATAATACAAAAACTGGGCTGGACGGAATCTACACATTCACTTATATACATATATCTGTCGTGCCAAGCTTCGGTCGTGTCGAGTTATCTCACACACAGTATCTATTTTACCTAGCTTATATTCTTCTCTCTTTCTTTTCTTTTGCTTTTTTTTTGATTCTTCTAAAAAGTAGTTCTAACGATAAAGTCAGACGGGACTCCAGGTTGGCAACGCACACATATATACATGCACACACCAGCTACAGGGATTAATTACTCCAGTAATATTGACTGTGTCGTTCGTCGTCACTCTTCATCATGAGTCCTTTCGCAAGCTCTCGCGGAAGAGTCTGAACTGAAAATGGCAAAAGTCACGCAAGAAAGGGCGGATCTCGCGAATGTTGTGTCTCGTGTTTCATGTCATATCGTCATGTCGCTCTTCTCGTACACGCGTCTACTCGCAAGACAAACCCGACCAATATTTAACTCGGTTATTGTCAAAGAGGTGTGTGCATGCGAGTCGCCCGAAGTACGCTCCGAAGAGGCGCGTGCAATGAAAAAGAGCCGCGGACAAAGAGGTACAACGTACGGCGACGGAGCTTATTTAAAGATAGAAGGGGAGGAGGAGAGGATGGGCTGAGTGTGCCCGTGTATCAGAGCTGATTTATATTAGCCCCGAAACGAACTGGGGCTGACCGTCGCGGTCGACCGTCAGTTGCGGCATCACGTTCGGGGAAGGCTGAAACGTTGATCCTTGAAAACCCATTGCCGATTCGTATAACTGAAGTATAAAAACAAATTGCGTTTAAGAATTATGTTTTAAGAATTATGCTTTACAGTCTTTACAGAAATACAATTTAATACTGGAAATTATTTACTTCGAGTATTAAAAGCATAATAATGAATAATGACGCTTTTAATACTTTAAAAAAAAAAGAATTAATCACTACCTTCAGTTTATTAAATTTCTATAAGAATCAAGGAGACTAATTGCACTACACATCTATTATGCATTATTAACGATTACAATTTTTTTTTATGTATTAATTCTTAAAGCAAAAAGAACTAGGCCAAATATTCTATTTATTTGTATATAATGCATACATCCTTTTCGTTACTTTCAAGTCGTGTAATTCATTACTTAATTCCAATATCGTGCAACTGATATTGATTATCGTAATTTTCAGAACACTCCATTACAGTTAAAACTATGATCTCAAAGAGAGAATCACTAATCAGAGTTAAGTCTGTCAGTATAATAAGGCTTTACTGTCTTATAATATCCATTAGCATTACTCGACTTACATTATGATTTCCTGGAAGCGTCGTGTAATCCGGCGTGGTCGGACGATGCCTGTTCGTAGGCAATGGATGTTGAATGGTTGCGTAAGTGTTATCTTGGGATGTATCACCCATGCCAACGCTTACGCCACTGCCGCGTCTTTCGCCGCCGAGACCGCCCTCGGGCTCGCTGAACACTTGCATCGTTAACTCTTGCTCCTCGTAGAGTTTCAATTTTCTATAATCAAGAACAATACTTTATCATATATCACATACGTAAGGTTATACATGCGCGAGAAATAAGACTTACTGCTCGATCCATAGAGGATTCTCCGTTGTGTTCAATTCGTCAATGATCTGTTTCTTAATTAGGCCATCCTTCTTACGTATATCATTTGGCACAGTTATCACCCTGAAGTATCATTGATGTAGATATATTGAATGAATGAATAAGATAAGAACATGTCTGAAATCTTGGTAGTCTTACCAATGGCGTAGACAGCAACAAACGACTGTAACAGTAACCGCACCTACGAGTAGAACAACTAAAAGAGCTATTAAAGCAGCGAGTGCAGGATCGAATGGTTCTTCTTGAATCCCAGCATATGCGGGCTGAAATAATTGTAAGTTTTATGCACATATTCAATAATTTTAGTAATATTATTGATTGTTATACTACAAGAAAATTTATTTTATCTAGTTTACTATTATAAAATAATCATTTCTACAGTTTTAAATCACAATATTACTACTTACCACAACATTCTCTATGGCAAACCCAGCGTAGTAATGTTTTAAAAAATCATACTTCGCATCAATGACTTTGAGCACATGAGGTATCGGCGCGATAGTTTGAGTTTTCGGTTCGACAACAT